AAAGAAGTCCTTAATAACACCACTGAAAGCGGTAGTACAAATCACAAGGAGTCTGAAGTCCTCAGGGATAGACGTGTGGCTGAAGAAAAGGACTGTCCAGATCTTCAGATGCATCCGCTGCTTTTTCGAGCTCCCGAAGACTGTAATTTACTGCATCAAGGAAATTCTGGCCCTGATGCAAATAGTTCATTCACTATTTTTCCAGGCAGCCCACCCCAGCTAAACCTAAGTTTATATCGCCATACAAACCATGCTCTCAATGTTTTAAACAAGGCTTTGAAGCCTAATGGTAAAGCTTCTACATCATCTGGTCTATGCTTTCATCCACTTCTTCAGAGAACCACTGATGAAAATTCTGTTGCCCAACCCTCTGCTAGTTCAGATTTACCAAGGGAAATGTTTACTCAACCTATTCCAAATTATAGTGAACGAACTGAGATTGAGATGCACCCGACTCTTATGCCAAGAAAAGAGAAAGCTTTAGAAAAACGTGTTTCAAGATCGTCACAAATTATTTCCGATTCTGAGCTGATGTCTCAAAGTACATTTGAGAGACCTAGTACTGATATTGATCCAAGTGCTCGAGCAATGGTCACATCCAATGAAACTGATATGGTAAACAATGCTGATGACATATTAGCCCAGTCTCTTCAAGGAATTGTGATGGAACAGGAAGAGCTGAGTGACTCAGAGGAGGAAGAAGAAAATGTGGAGTTCGAATGTGAGGAGATGACCGATTCAGAAGGAGAGGAAGAGATTCTTCCGTCTGTGCAGATGAATGATGAACTAATTGAGGTATCTTTTCATTATTTCTTCAACAATTCGAACATTTTAGTCTTGGACAATACAATTTTTTAAAAACCTGCAGTACTAACTTTGCCTGAAAAAAAGAGTCACGAATCTGATAATACCAGCTTTATAACCATATTTTTTCAAGACTGGTGGATTATCTTTATAAATACTTTGCACTTGAAGCTTATTAATATCTTGGTGCATAATTTTCCTCATTTTTGGCTTCTGGGATGCAAAGGAAAATATTGCACTATAACTGCTGCTGCTGCTACTAACTACTATCAGTTACTCCTACTATTATTTTTGAGATCAACTCAGGGGATATTTGGGAATGCAGAAGCACGGGGAGGAGATAAGTTAGTGTTCCAACCTTATGATGGTTTTGCTAATTTTATAATACTCCGTATACAACTCGTGTCCTTAAAAATTTCTTCCAATTACTACCCACCCCACCCCCTTTGACTCTCACTTCTCTATCACCCCTTTCAATCTGCTTCTGCCTCCACTTTCCAACTCTCCTTATCAAAAAATACTGTATATCTTGAATCTTTTTCTTTTGTTTCTTTTCTGGTTTTGGAGCCAGAGATGGCCGACGCCACCACGCAGAAGCACGTGAGGATGGCTCATCTAGGAAATCATGTGTTCATTCCGTCAATTGAAATCTCTCCAGCCTCCACTTCTGCATGCTGATTGTGGGAGATTCCAAGCTGGAGATTCTGGCCTCCTCCCGCACTAGGGTTCTTCAGTCTCTCAAGCTTGATAAGTGCTCTGGATTCTTCATGGATGGTCTCTTGCATAATAGGGGCAATTTTGAAAAATCAAAACATTTATAATTTTATACTAAGAGTCGTGCCAAGTCAAAACGAAAAGAACCAACATGGATGGAGGGAGTACTATTTTTGGCAAATTATTTTAAATGTCATCCTAATTTGATCAAAGCCTTTGCACCACAATTCTTGAAGAAGAAATATAAGTAACAAGCATGTCCAAGGGATAGCTGTTTCCTTGTTGACTAATATTGTTGTGGGTCCAAATTTTCCCCAGGAGACAGGTAGAGCAACTAGTGATGAAGTCTCAGATGAACATGTACCACCAGTTACACAGGGCATTCCGGAAGAAAATTCTTGTAGCCCCTCTGAAGACACCATCACAACATGGCTAGGGCCTGGCTCCTCGTCTCCGAATACAAATTCATTTCCCCCTGTTTCACAACTAGCAAATCCCAAGGTTACCACCAGGCAAAAGATGGGTGGTTCCAAACAATCAGGGCTGAATGCTGAAATGGAGAAGCCTGCTTCAGGAAACGAGCAGGAAGAGTTTAGTTTGGGTGACTTTGTTTCCTCACTCAAAAACTCAAGAAAACGTACACGTAACACGGGCTCTAAGACCAATGTGGGACGGTCTGGGAAAGGAATAATGCCAAGTTTGAATTCGGACATGGGCATAGAAAGCTCAAAGAAAACAAATGAAGTTGAAATCAGTTGATCCTATGAAAAAGCTCTCTTCTCTACTGAGCTTACTCTTTGGTCATATGTTCATTCTCAATGCCACCATGTTTTTAACACGACATTGAGGATAAAATGTGCTCTCTCTCTCTCTCTCTCTCTCTCTCTCTCACACACACACACACACACACACGTGAGTACAACAAACGGCTCTCAAAGCTCATCTGGTCGCTATGCCTTTCAGGTTAGCATACACAAAGCCATGGTTTTTGCAGTGAATGGCTGACACTCTCCTCCAGGGAGTTCAAGGCAGGTTTGAGGTGGGGACTTCAGAAGCATGTGCGAAAGCTGTGGTCTTTTTTCGTGAGTATGCAGGCCTCATATGACCTGGGCCTGGCCCAACGGGACACATGCCGTTCATTTGTTGCCTGTTGATTAGATATAAAATGGTGGCAGCAAGACCTTATGAAAACAGTGCACGAGAAAAACGAGCTTTTGTTTAACAAAATCAAGAAAGGTCATGTGAATTGTTTTAGGGCATTAATTGAAAATTGTATGTATCTTGTGTATAAAATGGAAAAAGATCTTACTATTTTTTTTAATTTGAGCAGCAGTGTTTAGTGCATTCGGAGAGTAAATATATTATGTCATTTTTATGTTGTACCAACTTTTTAATGTCTCTTCCACCATGTTTTAAAAAATCACGCATACCAAATACACACCCACCTTGGATTTATATATCTGTGAGGATTGTATTGGAAAAATATATAGGTGTATTTGACTTGTTATTAGAAGAGGTGTTTTAAAAGAAGAGGTGAGGTTTACATTACGAGTAGAAGGAAAAGTTTTGCTTTGGAACATTTGGCTATACGGCTAGGTTCTATGGCCACTCCCGTTGAATGGCCACGGAAGCCATTGCCCCTCTATGGATAGCTACGGTGTTTCGTTTATAAAATAGATAGTTCATACTTTCCCTAACCTCCCTGTGAACTCTTTGCCAAGTTCCGACCTCAATCCATTGCCCACCCACGTCAATTGTACCCCGCGAGTTTAGTTCACTTTGAGATTTTTTTTTTACATCAAAGTAAACTAAACTTGCAGAGTGCAATTGACGTGGGTGGGGAGATGGGTTGCGATCGGAAGTGGGTGGGAGGGTTTACTGGGATAGGAACCATCAATCTTATGAACGGAGCACTGTAGAGGGGTAGTGCCTTCCGTGATCATTCAAAAAGAGCGACCATGGGACCTAGTCGTTTACAATAAAGTTCTCATTTCCTTTTGAGAATGGTACATGCATTTTTCTCCCCTACGTAAATTTCAATCACTTCATTTGTCAGCTTTTCTATTGAACTCTTGTGAAATACTCCTAAATCAAGAATTTAGCTTAAGGACTGTAGAAACAACAACAACAATCCAGTTGAATCCCACTATAGTAGGGTCTGGGGAGAGTGCCCCTACTCGGAAGTAGGAGGTTGTTTCCAAGAGACCCCCGGCTCCAACCTGCACAAAAAATATGATAGGGCACAATAGAACACAGATAAAACACCAAGTACAATGGAATGAAAGTCCTGCAAGCAAAAGCAATGGATTCCAACCAAACAAAACACACTACAAAAAACCTCTGAGGCACCGGGCCCCTAACCAGCTATTCTAATCCTAGTTCTCCAAAGGTTCCTATCTAAAGCCATATCCTCAGTTAGGGCGAGAAGTTCTAAATCCTGCCTAATCACTTCCTTCCAATTCTTCCTAGGTCTACCCCTACCCATACTTCCCCCGATGACTGCAATCCTCTCGCATCTCCGTACAGGGGCGTCAGCATTCCGCCGTCTCACATGACCAAACCATCTCAACCTCGCTTCCCGCAGCTTATCTTCCATCGGCGCCATGCCTACCTGACGTCGGATAACTTCGTTCGAAATCCTATCCAACCTTGTCTTCCCACATATCCATCATAACATCCGCATCTCCGCCGCATGCAGACGACGCACATGAGTCATCTTAACTGCCTAACACTCTGCCCCATATAACATAGCAGGTCTGACTACGGACCGGTAGAACTTACCTTTCATCTTGGGTGAAATCTTCGGATCACACAACACCCCTGAAGCCAACCGCCATTTGGCCCAAGCCACTCCAACACGATGCCCAACATCCCCGTCTAACTCCTCATCAGCCTGAACTACCGAGCCAAGATACCGAAACTTGTCCACTTTAGGCACTAGGTGAGAGTCAATCCTAACTTCCACTTCTGATTCCATTTCCCGACCGCTGAAACGACATTCCATGTATTCTGTCTTGTTCTTACTTATTCTGAATCCTTTGGTCTCAAGAGCAAGGCGTCATCGTTCCAACTTATCGTTAAGTCCCTCACGCGTGTCGTCGATAAGCACAATATCATCCGCAAAAAGCATGCACCATGGGACCCCTTCTTGAACACCTTGTGTCAGGACGTCCATCACCAAGGCGAACAAAAAAGGGCTAAGGGCAGACCCTGGTGCAACCCCATCCCTACCGAGAATGACTCGGAGTCGCCCCCGGAGGTCCTTACCCTAGTCCTAGCCCCACCGTACATATCCTTGATCGCGCGAGTGTACGCGACGGGAACTCCTCTCGACTCAAGGCACCTCCATAAAACCTCCCTTGGCACCCTATCGTACGCCTTCTCAAGGTCAATAAACACCATATGAAGGTCCTTCTTCCTAGCCCTATACTCTTCCATTAACCTCCGCACGAGGTGAATGGCCTCTGTAGTCGATCTGCCAGGCATGAAACCAAACTGGTTCTCAGATATGCATACCCCTTTCCGCACCCTATACTCAATGACTCGCTCCCAAACCTTCATGGTGTGGCTAAGGAGTTTGATGCCTCTGTAATTCTCGCAGCTCTGAATGTCACCCTTGCCTTTAAACAAAGGGACCAAGAGACTCTCCCTCCACTCATCAGACATCCTAGCTGTCCGGAAGATAACATTGAAGAGTTTGGCTAAGTATATGCATATTTCTTGAAATTCACTTGATAATCACGAGATTTTGTGAAGTTTTGAGTATTGTAATTTAGGTTAAATTGCAGTATTAGTTCCAACTAACTCTCTTTGGATTATAACATGGGCGAGGAGGAGGATAGATGTAGGCCAAAGAAGAGTTATGACTTGTGTGGCATATAAGATTTCGGAAGGGGAAGGTGGCTTTGATTGTTCCCCGCATTAGGGGGACGAAAGACAATTTAGCCTTTAGCGATTGGACTCTCCGGATAATGTATGATGTTATTAGATCGATTAGGTTCAAATAAAGCGGTTTGGTTAATTTTGAACACACTCAAAATTTGTACTTGAACATCACAATAGTGGGCGAAATACGATCTAAAGTTTAGCGATTAGAGACTCCGTAGGTTTTATCAGACTTATTTAGATCTATTGGAAGTAGCCGATCGATTTGAGACGCTCTCAAAGTTTCCACATCTTGAATGTTATGGAGTATTATACATTCTCCGCAGGGGTGGTCTTATTATTCATGTTAATAATCACCAATGCCCTTGCAATGAGGGCCATTGAGGGGTGAGAGGGTGCCAGTATGAAAGTTGAGAGATAGAGGTAAACCAAAGAAGAGTTTTGCAACGTAATCAGGAAAAACAAACGTTTTACGCATGTCAACGAATACATGATTATAAGCGCTTTTTTGTAATGATATGCTATTTCCTCCGTCTCAATTTAAATTGTCTGTTTTGATTTACAATGTTTGACTAAAGTTATTTTCAAATCATTTTATATGAAAAATATTGTATAATTTAAAAATAATAATTACATACTCCCTCTATTTGAATAAACACTTTGCCTTTTAACTTTTAGCCAAAATAAAGAAAGTATATTTATGATTGACTTTTCAATTTCGCCCCTGATGTGATAGTTAGATTATTAATAAAAAAAAGTATGGTATGAAAAAGTATGAGTAAAAATGATTTTTAATAGGAAGTGAAAATGTTTTGGGGAAGTGGAAAAAAATAAAAGAGAAATGGTTTATAGAAACGGAGAAAGTATTTAAAAACTACAAAACTAGTAGTGTATAGACTACTATTTTAGTAAATTTCTTACGAAAATAGGAAAAAAAATGAATAAAATTTGACCCTGTAAAAATACAATTTAAAAAATTGAGACGGAGGGAGTATTGTAGTTGTAGAAATAAAAGTTTCAAAATTGAGTTATCAAATGTTTCCTTTTGATTTGTGGTAAATGTTTTAGGGGATGGCTAAATATACTCAAGGGCCTAATAGATAAACATTGCAAACAGTCTCTAGGTTTGATGTTGAGTGGTATATTAAAAGAGAAGAAAGTAGTGCATAAGCTTATGGGATTCAAAACACAAGATCAACCAAACATTTATCAAGTAAATCATCATTTATAGTGACTGGAAAGTACAAAATTAGTACACTATTAACCTGCAAAAAAGGAGTCTCTCCATACTTAGATCACTGATGGTCACAAAAAAGGCAAAAAAAGAAAAATTGTATCTATCTAATGTACTAAAAACTCGGGCACTCCGTATAACGTCACGCAGAGATTAGGGGAAAAGGGCATGTGTTCTCTATTTTCTTCGTATTTCAAAGATGGGCTTGGGGAGGGAGGAGGCTTACTACCGCCTATTTTTGGGTGGTTTGACTTTGTAAATCCTTACAATCCAATTTGATGTGGTGAATGCCTCTTCCAAGTGTTGAAGCTTTATGTCCTTATTCCCAATTTCAACCCCTCTAGCTCGGTCATATCTATCACAAGAGAAAGGGGATTTGTGAAAGGTTAATAACTACAAAGAATTATTCATTATTCAAGTAAAGAAAGACTAAATAAACTCACATACTTGAAAATCAGAGGCGTTTGATTCACCAAAAGTGAGAGTAACCGTAAATTATGTAATAATACTCCATATATCTTCCAAGACGTTGATGTAAGATAGGCTATTAAAGATAACCATAGTTCTTTTGACACTGCAGTTTGGTGCCATAATATGACACCGAGGCCCTAGGCGCTCCATTGGGCCCGAGATCGGGTCCTATCCCCTAACACACCCTATAAACCACTCTGCATTTGTGGGGTGAATTACGAGGGTAGGGCCAGGTTCAGGGTTCAATGGCATGTTGTAGGGGGGCCAGAAATGGCTCAGTGTCATATATGACACCGAATGTTGGTGTCAAAATAACCAAGCTCATTAATGGAAATGTAAGGAACCTTGAGCTTTTTGGCTAACAAAATCGGATATTACTTACTCCCTCGGTCCCACTAAGTTTGGGACAAGGGAAAGTGACACAAATTTAGGGAAAATGAAGTCGTTTGATTGATAATGAAAATGCAAAGTATGCTGATTTTGAAACATAAATATCACAAATATGGTATGTGACAAACGTTTTGGGATGGACCAAGATGGTAAAATAGGACAAACATAGTTGGAGGGATCACAGATTATATGGTTAAATTGTTAGGGACAAAGTTATTATAGTCCAAAATCCTCTTACAATGCCTAACTATATGTTTGGTTCAAGGCATTTGGAAGGAAAAGAAAAGGAAATGGTTCTCTCTCATTTTCCTCACCAAAATGGGAGGAATTTGTTTTTCCCTACTCTTAGTACATTTTGCCTTCTCAATTTCTTTTCCTTCCACTTTTCTTTTCTTTTCTCTCTAACCAACCAAGAAAAATTGTTTTCCATCTCGCTTTCTTTTCTTTTCCCTTTCAAATTCCTTGAACCAAACATAGTGTAAGATACCTAGGTAATCACATTACCTTAACGTCACCTAATTTTCTTACATGGAGGTGAAGGTGGAAGCAAATTACCAAAATCATTCAGTGAAATGAAAATTTGAACAAAAGAATGTAATCTCCAATTACTTTTCTCACATTACCAGGTTAATGGGAGATACCCCTAGACCAAACGCCCCCCTAAGTGTCTTATTAATCTATTTAAAAAGAATAGCATTTAAGCCCGGTTCATCGGTCACATAAAGACAAAAGTAATATCAAATTCGTTAATAAACTCAGCAAATATACAACTTCAGAAAACATTTCAAGTACTGTGTGATTTAAGACTTACCCTGGAGGTTTTCCATACTCTGTTGTCAGCTCACCAAAGCGATAATAACAAAGCTTGTACCTGATCAAAATAGGAAAGAGTGTACACCAAAACAATCAGTTGTATGAAGCCAAACATATTGTTTGTGTGGGAGATATTTTCAGAATCATAATTCATCTGCAAACTTGAAATAATCTCCACTTCACTCTTATAAAACTGATTAAAGCAATTCATAAGAAAGCCACATTTATAATAGAATTTCTTCAAAATAAAAGAATTAAGCAATTACAACTAAATTAAAATATACGGAATATTGCATTACAAGTAGGTAGTGGAATTTAAAACTTAGGTAAAATCTTGCAAGAAGACTTACATTAGGCAGTTCAGCATCTTTGGAGCAGCACCTTTGTCAACACGATACTCTCCATTCACTAGATAATCTGGTTCTTTTATAACTGGAAACACTCCCCCTCCAATCCGTACCATCCATAGAAACCTGAAAACAAATTGATTCCCATTCAATGTTAAACCACACAAGGATATGAAATCACAGGTGAGGTAAGCTATGGATTACAGGAAAATAAGAAATGTCACAGCCAATAATCTGCTTCAACCATTCCTGATTGATAAATACAAATGCATGTTTAAATTTTATGGAAATGATTTCCATCAAAATGTGCGGGGGAAAAAGGAGCAAAATCCTTACTTGTTTATATCATCAGATGAATACCCAGTGAGACCTCCAAATACAACCAAAACATAATCCACGTCCAAAGATCTCATTATTTCATATGCTTCATTCTCATCAGATGCCATGGCACGTCCAACTGTAGCAATATGTGTGTTATTCCAGGTGTTGTTATCAACAATTACAGTTCGGTTTCCCATTGCGGTGATCTGATAGCCATAATCCCACCAAGACATCACCTTGGCATCTTGAGGAGTATTCTGCCTCAACCAAAAGTATGCCTCACGGTAATCATCAAAGATGATCCTATTTCCATGGGCGCCCCTGGCAGCTAAAACAATTGAGGGAGATGAATATGCTTCTGAAGTGACCCAGGTACAATGGATTGCATATCTACTCAACAAATAAAAAGCGCCCAATAGCAAAGCAATAGCCCCATTTCTTTGGTATGGCAGAGAGTGATCAAGTGAAGCCTGTTGGAGAAATATAAGGAAACAACCCGATTATACAGGTATTCGATCTAAAACAACTGAATTCTCATACCAGTAAGGGAAAAAAATGTAGCAGCATGCACTGCTTTATACGTGAAAAGAAACAGAAAAGCAAAACCATACATGACGAATATGTGATCAGCATAACAAGTACTCTTTTTTTGGGATAGAGGGAGTAATAGACTGATTAATACGGACTTTGGGAAAGGGACAGGGGCATGGTGGGGATGGGGGATGAGGGAGCAGGTCTGCTGTGCTTCAAAAGTAGATAGCTCTGAACCAAAGGACACCATTTAAGCTGAAACTGTTTTGTCTATACTCCCCGCCAAATTAAGGAGGAAGAACATCATGCAAATAACTGTAGAAGATTGCTTGATGACTTATCCCATATATCTGACCTAAGAAATATTAGAGGGGATGTTTCATTGTCAAAGAAAGAGACTTGAAACTTAAACATTTGTACCAAAGTAGAATGGATTCTAAAATCTAAAGTCATATTTTCATTATAAAAAAAACATGTCTAGTGATCACACAAGACACGCATGCCTTCTTGGTAACATAAGCTATATAAAGTATGAACTGTCCTTGGTGAAAATATACAAGAAACTTCAAAAATAATATGGAGTACTAATAAAAGTAAAACTTTTTCTATAGCACATGCTAGACAACAACAAACTCAGTACAATCCCACATTGTGAGATCTAGGAAGGGTGAGTGTACGCAAACCATTCTCAGACTTGGAAGGTAGAAAGTCTGCCTCCACATGCTAGAGAAGTTGACAAAAATG